TCTCCAGGCAGAGATAGTCGATTGAAAAATCACATTTAAATTTCCTTTCTCCTGGAAGAAATTCTGTCATAATTAAAGGAAAATAAAAAATTTAAAAAGTATAAATTCATAAAGACAGGAAGGAAAAAGATACAACAGCAATAAAATCTTGGTAGCCGGAAAAAAGATGGGTTAGCAATAACACCACAGAATCTCAAAGGTTTAGGATTACCTGTGGAACTGTATGGAAGGGAGGGAAGGAGGGTATTAAGAGAGAGAGGATTAAGATGCCATTAAGAATCCTAGATGCCCACCCAATTCCATACTGCTAGACAGCTCTTGGCCCCCCAGCCTCGTGTAAAACCGAAGATTGATTCTTTTAGAGAGGATAAAATACATGGCACTTAGAAGGAAATGCCAGACACGGCTGAGGGGTGGTAAACTAAGTGAATTTATGCACACTGAATGCTAAGACTCTCCAGCCTTCTTTCCCAACTTAGCTCCCAGAGGCTGGCAGTAAGCCTTACATTCCAGACAGGAGACTCGAAAATAATTTTTGAAATAATCAAGCCAGCCCAAAGAGAAAGACATGAAAATATTGAGAAGGATTCTAGCTATCCTCAGTGATGGGCGACTGAAGCTTCTGTCCTGGGCCTGATGGTGAGAGTTCTGATACTCCTACCCTCCTCTGGCCTCCCCCAAACCAGAGAGAGAGGAATCCACAGGACTAAAGAGACATGCTCAGCCAGAACACATAGAATTCCCTTGCCGGACAACTCCAATGCTGCTTCTAAGGCCTACTTGAGACACTCCTACTGGTTACTTTTCCTGAGAGACAATAAGCATATCCTTCCATTTTAAAGATACATATTTAATATTTACAGAGTAAGTAATATAAATGTCTGGGATTTGCTCCAAAATAATATGGAGTAGGACTATGGAAAGGGGTACAAAGGAAATGATATTAACCATGTATTGATCATTATCAAAACTGGATGATGGGTACACAAGGACTCATTATACTATTATGTTTACTTCTGTAATGTCAATAATTTTCCATAAAAAAAAGTTCTTGGAAAGTGGAACAAAAGGAGAGAGAGAATGAAAATAGGAGGGAAAGGGCCGGGCGCGGTGGCTCACACCTGTAATCCTAGCACTCTGGGAGGCCGAGGCGGGTGGATCATTTGAGCTCAGGAGTTCAAGACCAGT